CCCCTCCTCCTCCTCCTCCTTCATCTTCCCACATTCGTTGCATTCCCCACCTCGATCGACCGTGCTACTTCTCCCCATGTGTGTGGCTGGAAGGGATCTTTCTTCCATGCATGTCTCCCTCCTTGCATCCCTCATATGTGATGATGTATGTGCAGGCTGAGTGCACAGTCTGATGAGTCAGATTGATGTTGGTCAGTTACAGTGTTTCACACTTCGGTGATTCTTGAACCTGCACCATGCCTACAAACTTATAGGCATGTGACAGGAATACTGCATCCTGAGTTCAATCGTTGTTTTTCATGTCTGCACTACAATTTGGATTTGCCTTGCATAGTTTCAGCTCGAGTTCAACTTGCGTTATTGATGTCTTGGGTGCCTTTGCTTCGTATGCTACTTTTGGGCTTTTAACCAGATACTTCTCACCAACAATAGTACGTAATGCTCCTTGGGATTCAAGCATGCTGAAAGAAGAGATTTTTGGGCCAATCCTACCTATCCAAGAGGTAAGCAACAACATGACTCTCTCTCTCTCTCTCTCTCTCTCTCTCTCTCTCTCTCTCTCTCTCTCTCTCTCTCTCTCTCTCTCCACACACACACACACACACACGCACACACACAGTCACACACTCACTTGGCACCTCCTTTCCTCCCAAAACCCTTGGCCATCACAATTCTGTGACCCCCAGTATTCGCCCATCCTTCCTCACCTTCACAGTACCCACACAAAAGAACTCCCAAAGCCCTTGGCCATCGTAATGGTGTGAACCCCAGTATTCGTCCATCCTTCCTCACCTTCACAGTGCCCACACAAAAGCAAATGCACCACCCCACACATAACCTCTATGAAGCCCTTCACCATTGTATTTGTGCGGCCTCTACCCCACTTCCTACACTCTCCCATGGACTCTAAAACATCCCTGTTGTGCACTGCTTGCCTCCATCCCCACCTCCTTCCATGCCTCTGCAGCCCCTACATTACATCAGAACGATTAAACAGTCCTAATCTCCTCCCTCCTCTCGTTGACATATTGACCAGCTGGCCCACCCCTGGTACAAAGGAACAGCCGGGATGCAGGCTCTGTACAGCTTGTACGATCCTCCGCGTGCACACCGTGCACAACCATCCCTAGCAGCACTGTAACAAAACAACCTTTGTACATCCAAGTACCTGGTTTGCAGGGTTGAAGCTAGAGCTTATCAAACACACTTTGTCAAGGACATACCTTCACATTGAATTCATGGGAGTGCATCCACCGCGCAATGTTATACATGCGGTGATGTGTTTTTAAGATTTGGAAAGGACTTACAATTTCACACAGCTTAGCACCCGATCCCGCTATCAACTCCAATTTTCCTTTTTGTATTTAGGCCCCCCAGTAGGCCTCCTTGTCAAAGTGTCCGGTAAGCTACGGTTTGTGCATACTTGTGGAAAGGCCATAGGCTACGGTCTGTACGTACCTCAGATGATACCTGTGGATGTCTGTAGGGGTTAGTAAGTTGTCCGCCATGTGTCGTCTCGTGCTGGTCGCAACTCAGTCCAAGGAAAGTCCTATGACAGTCGAAATCATTGCTGGCCTCAGCCAGGGCTGCCAGGGCTGATGTCACATGTCCAATTTGCCTCTTTGTTTTTCTTGCCTGACCGGGGCAAGCAAGTTTGACAAGGTCGCGAACAAAGAACAAGACATGATATAGCAGAAGAAAGGAGGAGAGGGGGGATATTGCCAGGGGGGGTATCGCGAAAGAGCAAGTTCAATTGTCAGCTAACCATCCTTCATGCTGCTCAGGGGCCTTAGCGAAATTGCGACCGTCCCTTTCCGGGTTTGTACTCACTGGGAGACCCAGTTCGTACCCTGTCACTTCTACGACAGCACAAAGGGGCACTAGTGCTCTTCCCCGTGAAGTTTTAATACTGTTTTATCCTACATCTTGCGTCTCCCTAGCTTTCATTGTTGCTATTTCGTTTCATAAAGAGCTTTATTTCGCAAATTCGTAATCACAAATCTACCCCACCATCTTCACCCAAATCAAACGCCCGCCGCCCGGTAATTATCGCCATATCTGGCCAAATACAGCTATAATGACCGGGTGTTCTATTCGGGTGACGACGGTAGTCTTTTCGACCTTCCTCTTCCCCCCCATTCTCCTTCTTCGGAAGTTCTATCTACCCCAGCCCCCATTTCTAGCATGAATCCCCTCATCCACAAAATCCCAGTTCCACCTGTTTGTTCATTCCCCACACACCTCCAGTCGGTCTTACGTACAGTCCAGTGAACAGTATAAAGTATAGCCAGTTCTGTAGATCTTATCCCTAAACCCCAAGCCTCAAAGACTATCCATGTCCTGCTGTGCACCCGCTTCACCTGTCATACCCATGCTGTCAGTTTGACTTGTTTGTTTGTGCCCTACACACCTGCAGTCACTCTTACGTACTGGGCAGTGAACAGTATACAGTATAGCCAGATCTTTAGATCTTATCCCTAAACCCCGAGCCTCAAAGTCTATCCTTCTCCTGCTTTGGACCCGCTTCACCTATCATTCCCATGCTGTCAACAGAGTCGCCCACCACACCGGTAGAGTAACCAGTATTTGTTGTCTCAGTTCCAGTAACCACTTTCTCCGGTTGTTTCCTGCGTGTCCATCACATCCTTCCTCACTCTTTCCCAGGGCTAGCGTCCATTTCCACTGGCACGCCTGTGACCAGATCTGTACAGTATCTGCTTATTGCTCTCAGGCCTTGATGGTGGAGTCCGATCCACCATTTCTGCACTTGTTGATATCTGTCGTCACTGCCACCTGCAAATTCGTGCATAACAGTCCTTTCAGGCCGGGCATCGACCCATCTTCATCTTGCTGTAACCGTCGGGCTCTGATGGACCAGACCGCCAAGATAAAGGCCTCTCTCACTGTGTCCACGGCGTACACGCTCTCCTCTGTATCTCCCAGACCTCCCAGTGCTGCTCCCACGAGGCTCCTTGCGCGGCGCTTCAGTCCTCCCTTAAGGGGGCCGCAGGGCCCACCTTCCCGTCCCAGCATATCCAAAAGTCCGCCTGGATTGGGCATTCCATCCAGAGGTGTGGCTGCCTTGCACTGTTTGCGGTCTTTGTCTTGAACCACACTCCTCTTCCATCCATTGAAACTTGAAAGGTAAGGGCAGCAAGTTGAAGATTCGGCCACAACAACGAGGCTTGTTTCTGACCTGCCGATTTCCTCATGGTTCAGCATGCCACTTCCCACCCCTGCTGTGACCATGAGTGTATTTCGTGGTCCTCAAGCCAGCCGCTTTTGCTCCCGCTAATTCTCATCTCCTCCACCATGTCAACTTGTGGCACAAATTCTATAGAATCAGTATGGATAACTTTAGTTGACACTCTATGGGACGGAATGCCTGTACAGTGTACATCGCATATATTCTTTGCAGGCCAGGTCAAAGGCCAGCTGAAGTGGGCTTCTTTGGGGTTTGAAGGACCAGTGCGGTGCTATGTCTGTTTTATTGTAATCTCTCAACATGAAGACTGGCTGAATCAACTCCTTATACAGCGTCCCATCTCTATCCATGCAGCAGAGCATGGGCTCCACCAAAGTTCTCAGGGAGTCTCAGACTTCCAGGCCGAGGCGTAATACCATTTCTCTCCTACTTTTTATTGCAATTTAAAGAGCATCGTCGTTTTCGGTTCTTGCTTGAGCCGGACCCACTCTCCTTTCACTTACACATCCTGCGCCAGCCTCCAAATCCACTCCTGCGGTATTGCATCCCAAATCGCTTCCAGGCATCTCCGCTTGGCTGGTTGATACCGGAGCAGGGCCTCAACTTCCTCATCTTCCTTCCATCTTAGCACCCATCTGTCCCACATATCTGCTATTCTGACATGCCGCCCTCCATGCATCGCCTTCCGAAGGCACCCAATCAGAATGGAGACGAAAACACCTGCACCATAACCAGCAAGCAGCACGCACCATAACTACTGGGAGCACCACCATCGCTGGTGGGCTCCAAGCTCCATCCTCCTGATGGCCGCTACCTGGTGCAGGTGCTGCAGAAGTCGGGCAGCATAACGACTGCAATTTCGTTTTTCTTTTTATTTTTCCCAATGTTGTCTAGGCTACAAACTGGGCCGCCAGGGTCACCTTGGTTCCCCGGACAGCCCGGCGGGTCAAAGGGCCAGGGAAGATCCCTTCAAAAAAACAAAAGAAAAGGGGAAAAAAAAAATCCAGACCTACCTATCTTGCCAACCAAAACGGCAGTTTTCAGAGGTGGGAATGACTTGACTACCGTATCCGGTCCACTGTATGCAGGCCACTCTCACAAAATTCAGTTTCCTGCAAAGCGACAACACTGGTGTCCTAAGGGCCCCTCTCTTCAGCGCCTTTAATATTGGCGGTGCAAAGGGACAGCCCCAACATCTGCCACGTCTACTCTCAACAGCTCTGCCATCATCTGTAAGCCTATGTAAAGTGAGAATTTTCCATGGCGCATCATTATCTTCCGTCAGTAGCCAGACTATTGTCCACATATTGAGAGCCATGGCCTGGAACCTGGGGTCCACCAAACCCAGCACACCCATTTTCTTTGGCTGGAGTATTTTCCCCCATCTCACCGTGTATATTAAGCACGGCACCTCGGGGTCATTTTTCCAAAGAAACTTCCTTATTGCTCTTTTGTATCCTCTCCGCGCTTGTTGGCATGGAGATCGCTCCAGTGTACCACAATGTAGAGAATACGCTGTCGTGAACAACAATGGCCTTTTCATCCATCTCGCTGCGCTACTGGTCCTCCCCTCGGCAAACCAGCACTATCAACTTCCTTCAGTTGATTTTTGTGCCTACAAGTCCTTTGAAGACGTTGACGGAGTGTACGACTGCCCCAACGCTGCCATCCGTTGAGCTGCATTACTTCTCCCGTATCATTGGCAAAGGCACTGGATTTCAGCTGTTTGCCTCTCTCGCAGGAGCCCACAGTTGGCATCCCACCTCCCAAATCTCGCAGGTAGCCCACAAATTCTTTCTCAGACAGTTTCATCTCTTGGAGGCATGAAAGTTGATAAAACATGGATCTTCTTTCTTTCAACAATTCTTTTAAGCTCCCTTCCCTTTGTCTGAACCGACCTTGCTCCTGCCGGTAGTCCTCGTACATTCAATGATTCGATGCATATCTCCATCGTTGCCATTTTCTCACCAACAAACAGAAGAAACCCTAAACCCAAAAAACAAAAAGAAATCACAGTATTCCTTTGCATCGTATGTACACCCCAATGGTTGCTCTCCGGATCCCCTTCTTCTCCCCCCCATTCTCTGTCCCTTTACCTCACCGTAACCCTTGTGTGATTTCCTCTACGTGTTTGCCTTCCCTTCACCCTCGGCTGTCTTTCTCTTTTCTGCTCCGATTTTTCCAGCAGTCATTCATGAACTTGCTCCCAGAGAGTTCGCCGACTAAGGCGGATGGCCTCCGGCATCCTGTCATCTGGTTGCCGGAGTACCTGCAGTGAGGTGCTAGCCAATGCGGTGT